ACTTTCGCAAGGAAAGAAATATGTAAATAGAATTTTATCGCATCGGGTATGTCAAATGATTTTATTATTTAAAAATACAAATTAATTATTAATAAAATTAATTTGTGTTTTTAAATAATAAAATCATTTGACATACCCGATGCTGCAACAGCAATTGTTCAAAATTTTATCCACTCACGTGTAAACACATTTGGGTCCGTCTTACTCACTTTCTACGAACTAACACAAATGATGTCTTGTTTCACCATAACACAAACGCTTCACCATAAATTAAAACGATATCCATCAACTCCGAGTACACGCAAACCATTTTTGACACTAACTACCCATTTTTGACACCAACTACTAAAAACGTATTATAAAAACCACAGATAACAGATAAATATCGCAATGACAATTGCAAAATCCGAATTCAGTATACAGAGTCGATGAGGCCACGTGGCGAATGATGCTAGAGGCTACAGCTGTCCATCTATGTAGTGGTTTAATGTGCTATAACTTCAATAATTTTTTCCTCAAAAACTATAAGGATTTTACAAAAATTTTGTTTACAATATTTACTCCATTTCTCATGCCGCATCTATTCCCAAATATTTTTGGATAAGTTGTGAATCACCCTGTATATCACTGGAGAGCAGAAAAAATTTCCCATCATATTAGAACATATTCCAATTTATACAATTTAAATGTGTTTCATAACTACATAATCATAAGACCCACTAAAAAACTAATATTAATTGATGGTTCTATGCTGAAAAATTCATATCAAGCAAAAGCAGTAGAAAATTTCAAGAAAATACAAAATTTCTAATTGAATGGTTGAATTTATTTCTAAGTTTCTCAGATACTCTGGATTCAAACATGGGACAATATCTACATTTTATTTAAATCAAATATGAAACTATTTATTTCAGTATTATTGATATTGTCATATTGCTTCGCATAATATCATTAGTTACTACAAAACTATAGTGCACTTACTGTTAACAAACTGGTAGGTCTGTAAAAAGCAGAAAATAAATATCTGTTCCTGGCATTTTGCGGTGCAAAAAAAGTATCACATAAATGGGGAAGCAATTCTGGTCCCGACTGAGTGGAATGATTGGATTCAGAATGAGAAGATTCACTAGCAGTGTCACTTGTTTGACTATCTCTGCGTCCACCTCTAGCTTCTGACAATCTTTGCTTTAAAGATGCCAATTTGTCTACACCTAACTGTTTGAGATTATAAAGTCTGGATCTTCCAGATTCATCCACTTGAGTATTTGCATCTGGTGGCCAAACGTATCCTGTAGAATGATGCTCTAATATGAGACGCCACTGTTGTCCGCTGACTCCATTTATCTAGTAAATTTTGACATAGTCTATATTTCTGAAGTTCGAGAAACTTTAGTTATATGTACTGATTTAAAAACGTCAAAGTAGTTTAACTATGTAATATCCATGCATAAAAAATTAATATAAATAATTCATTTCTAAACGTAACTGAAACTTCATATATTTAATTATCTTTAATATACATTTATGGCTTTCTTACTGATGATTTTATTTAAGCAATTTTTGTATCAATGTTACACTATCTGAATTTTTAGTTTTCAATTTCTGTAATGAGCTTTTCTGCACACATCTTTTTAAAAAAACCATTACTGTAGGCCATAGATAGCAGTGACTGGACAATTAAAGATAGTGCAGATACAATTTATTTATAGAATTTATTTTATTTGATTAAATATTTAAATTTTAAATAAAATGGTTAAAAAAATTAAATAAACTTATCATTTATAAAATAAGTTTTGGGTAACAATTATAACAAAATATATTGGCATTAAACTGAACTGAATAAGACTATAAATATTGAAATGATATTGAAAATAATAATTATGATTATTATATATTTATAATACAGGGTGTCCCATTAATATTGTGAAAAAATCCTGGGGAAGTTTCCTTGACCAAAAATAAATAAGAAAGTTCCCATAAACCTATGTCTGAAAATGCTTCAGAGATACAGGGTGTTGAAATCTAGAGAAAATAAAAGGTTTTTACTAATATCTGGAGAATCCTAATTCCGATTTTTTTTTAAATTTGGTATGTTTGTTTATAAAAACGGTAGACATCATCTGACATAATTTGATTTATTTTATCTATTCCAGCGGCATACGGAGACTCACTCCTGTTGATATTAATATACAAACATATTATGAGACGTCACTGCTTTTTCTTAAGTGTCATATGTTTTTCTAATTATGCGATAAAAAATACAACTTTTTTGTCTCTTTACTTTTTTTGATATTAAAATTAATAGCTTAAATGTGTGATTTTAAAAAGTACTTGAACTGTGTAGTTGTCAATTCCTGCTTGTCAAAATGAATTACACAAATAGTGAAATTTGCGATATGCATTTTCTTTATGGCCTTGCCAACGGTAATGCATTAGCCGCCAGGCGCCTCTATGAGCAGAAATACCCTAAATTCTCTAAATTTCAACACCCTGTATCTCCGAAACGAAGCATTTTCGGACATAGGTGTATAGTAACTTTCTTTCTTATTTTTGGTAAAGGAAACTCCCCCTTTTTTTGTAATATTAATGGGACATCCTGTATATTTTTTATATTTTATATATGAGTAGGTATACGTTTTGGTTTGATAAAACAAAAATAAATTTTTAATATGACACTTATTAAACCATCATACTTACCAACAAAGAAACAGTTTCTAAGCTATTATCCTGGCACAAACAAAGTTGAGTAACAGATTCTGTAATGTTACAACTACCTAGGCATCTTCCATCGGTTAAACTGATCAAAACTATAGTACCATTTTCAAAACCAACAAGAGCATTTTGGTTGCAATCTAATGTTTGCCACCACACAACACTAGTAGGCTTAGCTTCTGGGATTTGAAAATGTTTAGGAAAGTGGGTAATATCATTTAGTGACCATTTACAGTCAATTTTTTGTCGTTTATCAACTAAATTTAATGCAGGAATAATGTATAGAGAGCAGTCAATTGCTAAAAAATAATTTAATTTATTAAGGGCTAACTTTAGTAGTGAATATACATACAAACTACTAATAGCCAAGTTGCTGATGGATCAAAACAAATTGCTTGAATAAGTTTATGATTGTCTGTGAACCAAGGAACTCTCTTTAATACTGGGGTCAATTCACCGTAAGTATAATGAAGGACAATATCACCATCACTATAAAGTTTATAATAATTTATATACAACAATAAACTTAAATTTAAACCACTTACCCTGTAATTAATGCCAATATTTGCTTCACCCCATTTTCACATCGAGCACATAATTTTACATTAATATTTTGTATCAATGGTACTATTTCAAAAATATCTTGCGTTGTTTGCACAGACATATTATACTTATTTATTGTTTTATGTCATGACATAAATTTATCTTTGTGTACTGTATTTAGTTTAACATGAAAATAAATATTATTTTGAAATTTGACAGATTTGACAGACCGACACACCTGATTGTGACGTTATCAACAAAACGTAGTGTAGTAGAATTGAACTACGATAGTTTTGACCTCCTACGTGTTAGAACTACTATCTGCTAACATTTAAAAATTGGATCAATATAATTTTTATAAATCTGAAGAATAAATATTATATTAACCTAAGGTTAGACACAGGTTACAGCTTAAGATCATATATTTCAATATTTCTTGTTACATAAAATCAAAATTTATCTGATATCAAAATCAGAATGTTTACTTTTTCGTAGATAATTTTAAAACGAAATAGATCAAATTTATTTTCGGCAAGGTATTTGTCTTCAAACTTGCCAACCTTTTGTCAAATTTATTTATTTATTACCAGTTATATAAATCTGTTTAACATAGATTTGTTTTTTAGGAAACTGATAATAATACTACGTTATCTTATTAAAACTTAAAAGTAAATAAGATTTGGGTTTATAGGAATTTTTTCGACAGAAACTGCAATTCAAGCAAGAAAATATGTAATTTCATTTTGAAAATATGATATGAAAGTACCTAAATAGGTAAATACCCTAAACTTTTTTATATAGAGACGGAAAATAATCGAATTACTTTTTTAAACATAATATATGAACTGTATCTAATATTAAATCAAAATAATATTTTCTAAACTACTTATATAAAAATGTAAATTACAGAAAAAATGATCACGAAATGCCACTGGATGCTAAGAAACTCCATAGAAAAACCAAAATTTTTCTTCATTTTTGGTCGCTAATCTTCGCAGATCATTTTAAAATAAGAAATTGTGCAAAACCGTACTTCGTATCAACTTCAACGTCACCTGTTAGGTACGTGGGTGTTGTACAATAATGAAAACGTAATATGGACGTAGAAGGAAGCGCAAAAACAAACGCTTAGGTGGAGATTTCTGAAAGGAAGCCTAGATAGTGGAAGTGAGGATAGCGCAGAGTGAAAAGTAAGACGATCGGTGCACGGTGAAAATATATAAGTAGTGAAAAATTAAAAGTGTTTAACCGGTATTAGTTAGCAGGTAATTATTCTCTAAGTACTTTGTTGTTAATTGTTCTATGTAATCTTATGATTGTGATGATTATAGACGTTTCATGATAATAATTCTGTATATGTTTAGCCTTCATTGTCTTATGCTCAAGGTCATATATTTTTCTAAGGCAAAATTGTTACAATTATCATTAGCGATTGCTCATTATTTATTACATGTTAAAATATGTATATATTGTCGTGACTGCCCAGATATTGCAATAACAACTCCTTTGTTTCACATTTAACTTGTTTTATCACGATTACGTTGTTCGAAAAACAAGTAATAAAGCATTTCTTGTGCTCACTTTATGTCATACGCATATAAGAGCCTTGTTGAATTTACTAAAATTTTCGCCCGTGAGGAACGAATCTGAAAAAAAAGAATAATTAAATACAAAAAAAGAATTGCTAAAACAGATCTTCCGAAATTTCAACTCATAGCTGGATTGCCCCCCCGTATCATACTCCAGTACCTTCGGGCCCTGCCGGCTAACTAACACCAAACTTCTTCAGTTTGGTGTGGGTTTGGAAGTGTGCATGTCTAATTCGAGTGAGGTGACATTTAGTGAGAAATTAAATAAGTCAGGTCTTATTTATCATTAGCAAAGGATCTTAATTTATGCCTTTTGTTAGCGGTTGTTTTGTATTTATATTTGGGTAGTTAGAGCAACGATCGTGGGTTTCTTTGCCATGCTCTTTCCCCACAGGAGCTCTAGGTGAACCTGGTACTCTCATTTTATGTTAAATGGTTGTTAATGTTTTTGTTGTTCTTTCTAATTGTCACATGTTTTATTTGAAGACTGTTGTACGTAAATAATAAAGTTAGGTGTATTTATTCTGCTTTTGTTTTATAAAATTAAACCATACTTCCCCTGTTTAAAGTTAGTAGTCAGCGCCTTCCGATCAGTTAAAAATGGATGTATACAACGTAGGTATTCCTTATGACGATGATATATTTTTGGCCACAACTACGTTTATATTTTTTTCGATCGAATCTGGGGTTGTTATACTACAAAATTGTCTCAGATGGTTATGAAACTATATACAGGGCTGGAAAATCCACACGGTCCATCTGCCTTTACATTAGAGCGACAAAGTAAAGTAAAGAAATCCGTGCGATAGACAAGGATGGCTATAGTGAAGACGTTTCATAATGTGAATAGTCACCGCACGTTTCGAGTTAGAAGTGGGAGTGACTATTCAGATTATGAAACGTTTTCAATGTAACCATCTTTGTTTATCGTACGGATTTCTATGACTTACTTTATCGCTCTCACGTAACGGTCGATGTACCATGGGGACTTTCCGAACCTGTATATCGGTTAGTATTAGGGATATTGCTCTGAACACAACTTTTTCAACGTTTTGAATCGTTATATCTCAGAAATGGTAATTCTTAGGAACAAAAATGTAAGAAGAAATTTTATAGATAATTGCGTGATCTAATTTTAGTCTGACCTATTTTTATGATAAAACTTACCGTTTGGCTGAAAATTGAAAAAAAAACATATTTGAGAATTTTGACCTAGAATAAGTTTTTTTGTAGATGTGGGATCGATGGGGACTTTTCACATTTTATTTTTTATGGTGTTCCAACATTCTTACCAATTTTCAGCTTTATGTGAATTATTGTAAGCTTACCCCTATTTTTTGAGCTACTTTGACCGGGTTATTTGTTAACATTATAACATTGGTTTCATGAGTAAAAAAAATTGACATTTCAGAAAGTAAATAGAAAAACACCTTGCAAATTAAATAAATATTTTGATATAAATTATATTACTATTATGTTTACGTTTAACTTAGTAATTTATAAAACATGTGTGATACCATAATTGTGTAAAAAGCATTGAGTATAGCTACTATTTACAAACTAGCTTACAATGGGTACCTACCTACAAAGTGAATCAAGATTGCTTTGTTTATTGATGGTAATGTAACGGGAATTCAGTATGTCAATAGAAATCGTAATTGTCACTTTCTTTTATATTTTTACATTCTTTTATACTGATTATATGATCAATTTCCCATTTATACATAAGTCTTTTAGTAGTTAGATGGCGGGATATCCGCACTGTTACAGGACGATACGTAGTCAAACGAAAACTACGAATTCTGTATATGGAGAATTTTTTGAAGCAGCACAAGCCATGAAAATAAAAATACAGCCAGAGCTGTTGAAAATTTTACAGTATGTCGATTCAAACAGAAAGAAATTTTATGATGATCTGGCAGAGGCTGTCAAAATTAAATCTATCACTTCAGAACTAAAGTACATTGAGGAAGTTAAAAAAATGCATAGATTTGTAGAAGATTGGTTACTGAAGCTTGAAATGAAATATGAATGTTTCAACATTGGTCATTATGAAATCGAAGGAAAGAGAATCAAAATACCCACAATGATACTAGCGTTCCTGAAAACTAGTGCAAATAAGAAAACAGTAAGTTTTCAATAAGTTATTGTATTTTTAATAATTATAAAAGGAATTGAAAATAAGGTAAAACAGTACATGTCATAGATATTTTATATCACTGTTTAACATTCTTTACTTCAAGTCACTATAAAAAGCACATCAGATTTCAGCTTTCAAGGAACCATCTTTAAGTTATTTGAAACTGACACGTTTTGATATTTGAATAAGAAATAATTAGGTACCTTCAAAGCGATTGTTGTGATACAACCAAAAAGGAAGCGAGATACGAAAAAAATTCGAAAAAAAAGGTGGATTTTTAGTTGCTTAATGCGAATTGAATTTTAAAAGTGTTAAAAAACTCAGTGGCGCACATTTTTTGTCAAAAATATTGCTCAAGGTACTCCGGAACGCCACTGGACTTAATAATTTTAATCTCGTTAGGGCTAAATTAGCTCCTTAAAACTGCCAAATTTCAACAAAATCGTCTAAAGGATTATTAAGATTTTTACAAAAACCCTGGATATAAGTTTATACTAATGGTTTCTAAGATGTTTCTTAAGAACACTAAGGCTATTTAAATATTGAAGAAAGATGATAGCTCCATAATAAAATTAGGGACAAAAAAGTCTTTCAAAATGCATTTTGTTTAAAAAAACATGTAAACTGATTATCCATTCATATACGAAAAGTTGTTATCACATTTAGCGGGCCATATCTCAGTGGACGTTGATATTTGATTATAGAGGGTATCCCGATTTATAGGTGTAGAGGCTATTAATATAATACAGTATATGTATAATAAGAAAGAAACTGTGTATTATAATTATGTAAAGTGGTTTTAAGTCTTTCACGGCCCATGATACTTAAAGTTTAATGTTTTTTTTCGCGTTGACATGGCGCGGCCTATGTACCTGGTCGCCGCCAGTTACAGACTTGTAATGCACTTCCTTACAGCTAGGAATCTTTGACCTGCCTTTGTTGTTCTCGGACTAGATTCTGTGGAGGCGGACCCGCCAATAGAACCCTTAGGCCAGTAGACCAGTGCTTAAGCCTTCAAAAATGGTAAAAAGTGAAAATAAATTATAGTAGGATGAAACCCATTGGAAAAGGAAGAGAATATAACAGAAATGAAAGGAAAAATAATTTACGGGCGATCTGAGGTCGGGAAGGGGAAGGGGGTGAGTTTTTAAGGGTAAAAAACGGTTTATCTTGATTTCCGGAAAAACTACAAGTCTTATGGAAAAAAGTTAAATGGCAAAGTTGTAGGTAATAAAAAGATCTACAACTTTTGTATTTACACTTTTTTCACATAACCTCAAAATTTATGTGAAAAATTCAAATAACCAAGTTTTTGGTTTTTTATTTTTATCTTTTACAAACAAATTTTTTTTTCACGAAATTTGGTGAAAACTTACCTATTTATGTCCCAAACACGCTGTAATTTTTTTGATTTGAAATATTTATTTTTTCACCTTATTTTTACTTAATATCGAAAAAGCACCCTAATTTTCAATCGAAAATTCTCACGTCAAAATATCTGCTTTTTTAAAAACGTCGGTGGGCTTTTTCTTCGTTGAAATCTCTACTTTCTGATGGTGTAAAAAAATATATACATTACTATGGTAAGTTTTCTCAGGAAATGCAAAGAAACGAACTAGAATCCGAAAATTTTTTTCTAATCATTATGTACAATTTTGAGCTATTTATTAAAATTTACACTTTAATTACTCGAAAAACGTAAGATTCCATGTTACATTGATAAACAAAAAAATTACAAGTCGAAATATACTATTATAATTAACAACCAAATAAGTTAATAAAGTTAATATTTAATAAGACATCTACAATATTTTGAGAAAGTTGTAGAATCTTCTTTCGTTTCTTTGCATTTCCTGAGAAAACTTACCATAGTAATGTATATTTTTTTTACACCATCAGAAAGTAGAGATTTCAACGAAGAAAAAGCCCACCGACGTTTTTAAAAAAGCAGATATTTTGACGTGAGAATTTTCGATTGAAAATTAGGGTGCTTTTTCGATATTAAGTAAAAATAAGGTGAAAAAATAAATATTTCAAATCAAAAAAATTACAGCGTGTTTGGGACATAAATAGGTAAGTTTTCACCAAATTTCGTGAAAAAAAAATTTTTTTGTAAAAGATAAAAATAAAAAACCAAAAACTTGGTTATTTGAATTTTTCACATAAATTTTGAGGTTATGTGAAAAAAGTGTAAATACAAAAGTTGTAGATCTTTTTATTACCTACAACTTTGCCATTTAACTTTTTTCCATAAGACTTGTAGTTTTTCTGGAAATCAAGGGAAACCGTTTTTTACCCTTAAAAACTCACCCCCTACCCCTTCCCGACCTCAGATCGCCCGTAAATATTATTTTTCCTTTCATTTCTGTTATATTCTCTTTCTTTTCCAATGGGTTTCATCCTACTATAATTTTTTTTGGTTTCAAAAATTATCGACCCTGGTCTACAGCCCTAATATTGATTTTGGTTCTTGTTGTTGGTTGACTGCTACGGACGGAACCGCTCCTCAGACAATGGTGATACTGAGACGTTCCGCAGTGGCCTCTATCACATCCACTGTTTGGAAACGTTTTGCTATTCTTCGTTGTCGGATTTTCAGTGATAACTCGCATTTTACATGCAAGAAGTATACATTATACAGGTCAACATTTGATCTAGAGACAATCATCAGAAGTAACTATGGTATATAAGGGTTTTTTTGGGTCACTGATCACGAATCCGAGGTCGGTTAAGCTCCATCATATCAGGTTCAAGGTGATTTGAAGGTCAAATCAAGAAATTACCTCCAAAAAATCTGAAAAAATGCATGCTTAAGTTTTAGAGGTCACTGAACCCGAATCCGAGGTTTGTTTACCCCTACGATACACCCTAGAAGTCATTCAAGGTTATTTCAAGGTCATTCGTGAAGTATTTTAGATAGAAAAGTTGAAATCAGTCTGAAAAATTTGAAAAAATTCGTCTGAATATTTTTGAGGCCACTGAACGCGAATACAAGGTTATTTAATAAAAATACTGATCAACTCAGGAACGTTATCCTTGTCATGGTATCGATTTTCGTATGTTTCGTTGTTTGCATCCTTCCTAAAACCAGTCGCATATTCTGATTGCATTTGCATTTTAGACTTTTTTTACTTTTATTATTATTTTTTGTCCGTCATATTGAGGTAAAAGACTGAGCAGTAATCAAGATGAGGAAAGGCCAGGGCTAACACAAGCCACTTGCGTAACTGAAAAGACATAAAATGCTGAAAGAATTTATGTTTTAATAATATAATGCATGCTTGACTTCTTTTGCTAATGCAGCAACCTTAGGTTTCAAATTAAATTTTGAGTCAAGTAAATCCCTTGCGATTCATTTTGACCGTGTCAACGTATGGGATAGTCATATGCCAATAGCAGAGCTGGGTACTTACTTGTTATTTAAAGATAGTTACAATTACAAATTACTTTTTTAAAAAAAGGAACTAATTACAATTACAAAGTATATTCTTTAAAAAAGGAATTATATTCATTTAATTACAGTTACATGTAAAATGGATTTAGCAATTACTTTTCTAATTACTTTTATGATAAAGTAAATTATAGTGACCAAACAGAAAAAGGAAAAAATTTTAATTAAAAGTGTTGTGTAATATTACACATAATAATATATATTGCGTTGGTAATTATTTACTATAGTGGCACCCTCTCCAATTTTCACAAAATTTTGTCTACCCCCCCTATTTTCGATGGTGCTGAACACGAATCTGAAGTTTTTTTGTGCGGTCGAACCCAGTTTTTGAGAATTTTTTTTTTTAAATTCTAACCTGAATATTTCAGATAACATTACATAGAACTCTATATATTTTGTGTAGCTTTCAGAACATCTGTAATAAACAATGAACATTGTTTAAGAAACACATTTTCCCAAATTTGAACTAAAAAAAATATGTATTTAATAAATAAAATTATAGTAACTTTATGTGGGACGAACAGAGTTGAATGAGAGTGGGGGAACTCTATGTTGTCATCACGAATTACAAATGGCGGATTCAAACTACAAAATTTTTATTTATTAAATACATATCTTTTTACTTGAAATTTACGAAAATGTGTTTCGTGAACAGTGTTAATTGTTCACAACAGATGTTCTGAAAGCTACATAAAATATACAGAGTTCTAGTGTTATCTGAAATATCCAAGTTAGAATTTTGAAAAATTTTTTTCTCGAAAACTGGGTTTGACCGCACAAAAAAACTGCAGATTCGTGTTCAGCACCATCGAAAATAGGGGGCAGACAAAATTTTGTGAAAATTGGAGTGGGTGCCACTAAAGTAAATAATTACCATATTTTTATTCCTAATCTAATACTTAAAACTAGTTCAGTTCATACTATAATTTTATATTATTGCTCTTCATTATCACCAAAATGTACTTACTTTCTGTTAATTCTGAGGTTAATTCATCAAATAACTTTTTAATGTTCACGCGGCACAAGGCTTTTCTTAAATGTAATTATAGAAGTCTGCAAGTCTGTACGCAATTACGCAATACGCATTAAAAGTAATTGTAATTATTAGAAAAAGTAATTGTAATTGGAAAAAGTAATTGTACTTATAGAAGTAATTTGTAAATAGATAGTTCAAATAATATAATTACAAATTACAATTCCTATAACAATTTTGCTGCAATTCCAATTCCAAATTACTTTAATAAAAAAAAATATTTAAATACAATTACAATTACAGGAAAAAAAAGAGAATTGTAATTGCTAATTACTTTTTCACCAGTAATTACCCAGCTCTGGCCAATAGTAGAACGAAAGTAAACCAGCAGAAAAAGAGACTATATCTCCATACAAACGTGTAGATGGTTATACGTAGACAGATGGAAACTCTTTGAAGACTGTTAATAACCCCGAAAACACTTCAATACACTTTTTAAATTTGTTTACACTACTCTTTCTAAATTGAACCTTCAAATCACCTTGAACCTGACGTGATGGAGCTTAAATAATCTTGGATTCGCGTTCAGTGACCTCAAAATCATTCAGACAAATTTTTTCAGATTTTTCAGACTGATTTTAACTTTTCTATCTAAAATACTTCATGAACGACCTTGAAATTACCTTGAATGACCTTTAGGGTATATTGTAGGGGTAAATAAACGGATTCGGGTTCAGTGACCTCTAAAGCACAAGCATGAATTTTTTCAGATTTTTTGGAGGTCATTTCTTGATTTGACCTTCGAATCACCTTGAATCTGATACGATGGAGCTTAACCGACCTCGGATTCGTGATCAGCGACCCAAAAGAACCCTATTTACCATAGATTCTGACGATTGTCTCTAGCCCTAGATCAAATGTTGACCTGTGTTATTTAAGTAAATAAAATGTTAAAAAAATACTTGCGATTTCTCAAAATCTCTGCCAGCAGAGAAAATATTTCAGAAAGCTAAAAACCCTTCTTAGGCTAAGTCATCTTATTGTTAGCGGCCTCAATGTGTTGTAAAAAATCTCCCAAATCAAATTTCATAGGAATATATTAAAAGTAAGTTATAAAATGTAAAGTCAATAACTTTAAGGAAGCAAAATTATTCTAAAATGACTGATCTAAATTTTATTTCACTTCCAGACCAAACATAAGGAAGTAAAATTGTATTAGCAAACTTGATTGATTTAAGAATGCTAAATACTAAAATATTATTGGACATGGTTAAAGCATCAAATTTGGTTTTAAAAAAAACTTAACGATAAAAGTTTCTGGTGATAACTTTTAATTTGCCTTCTAAATATACAACTACTTCTAGATGAAATGAACTATTTTTTTCCATAAATTTCGTTGCCTAACCATACATTATTATTTAGGTTTGTATATATCTCCATCTCGACGTACTTAAGCCGGACGAAAGTAAATGGGATACAGATCCTTGGACGCTAACTACTGAAGATAAAAAAATATATGGTTGCGGTGCAGGGTGTGGAAAAGGACCTATGATGGCTTGGTTTCATGTTATAGAAGCTTTTAAAAAGTCTGATTTAGAGTTTCCTGTAAATTTGAGATTTGTAATTGAATCAATGCATCACGAGCATAGTCTGGGTCTTGCCGATTTCATAGAATCAAGAATGCAAGATCTCTTCAGTGGAATTGATTGCATCGTTATGAGTGATTCGGAATGGTTAGGAGAAAAACATCCTTGCATTGTTTACGGCTCAGCAGGTAAGTAAGGTTTTCCAAAATTTTGGGTTTTATTAATAATTAGACATAAGTACGTCAACTGAATAATTTTTGGTCCAAAGATTCAACCCAAATCGCTTAGGTAAAAGTGTCTTCTTACTGAAACACCCTGTGTTTTATTTCAAATTTTTAAGATTTTTTTTGTCCATTACTTTGAAATAGTTTATTATTATTTTATCATATTTGACAAAAGGACCGTAGATCGTAAAAATTTATATATAAGTACAAGGTCTTACAAAAAGTAGGTTAAGCCATTAACCTCATGGTTTTTGGGGAGACATTCTTTACACCGTTTCTGGAAATTAAATTACAAATTAAAATTATAAATTTTCGTCAAAAAGATCGCAGTGCAAACGAGAAAAGGGGGTTGTAGTACGTAATTTCTTCTTCCTTTTTTGTTCCATGTATTATTCTAATGTACCTATTCTACAGGGTGTCCGCAAATTTCACCGACAACGTTTGACTACATATTAACGACGATAAATAAAAACAATCTACAAAAAAGTTATATAAAAAATTTTTTGTTTTTGAGTTACAAGTCAAAGTTGTCAAAAATAAAACTAATTTAATTAATAACTTATTCATAACCATTTTACCAATCATGTTAAAATTTGACACATTTATTTAGATTATTATTGCATATTATTTCTTAAAGTTTTAGTCAAATCGATATACTGGGTGATAATATTCTCCGGTTACCTCTTTTAGCGGGCAGCAAAATTGAAAAGGTCGTTTTATTTAAAAAAAAAATTGTCTCTTGAGAAAATCGTCTATAGAAAGCCATTTTTGGTGAAAATGGCATTATTTGAAGGTCTGTATGTTTCGGTTTGCGTGGCAGTCATGGATTTAAAAAATTGAGTTCAGTTTCGATGAAAATACGATGTTGATTGCTGTGGCTATCAGGTAACGTGTTTATTGTCGTGTCTCTTTAGAATTCTCATCACTCCTCACATGCAAACTATGAAGTGTCCGCAGTGTATCAAGACAATTAAATGTATGTAAAAAAATATGTTCTCAATGTATGTAAATACAGGGTGTCCGGAAATGATGAGCAAAAAATTCAGGGGATAATTCTAGACCGAAAATAAATGCTACCTCTTTCTATAACATTTTTTCCAAAACTGATTATTAACGGAGTTACAGGGTGTTAAAGTTAAATTTTATTTGCAGTTTTTTTGCAATACCTTTTGCCACACTCATAATATTTTGACGAAATTTCGTATATGGGGGTTTTTCGGGATGAGGATTATAAATTTGCCCACCGTTTTTTCGCATTTTGTAGAGGGCGCCACATACGAGCCTTTATTTTGATTTGAATGGTTCCAACTTTTTTGTGCTACACTTTATGCGACTTTTGACTGAATATTTTTGTTCTCCTAACCTTTTGACATAAAAAAGGTATACTTTATTTGTTTCGATAAATCTAACCGTTTTCGAGAAAAACGCTAAAATAACATTGCTTGCATGTGATGAATACGAAATCATTTTAATTTATTTTCTACATTAAACATAGCATGCTTTGGAAACAAGCGCTTAGTTGCCTTGGAAACAAGTTTGTGGAGAATTAGTTTTGACAGATAGTAATTTTGTACAAGTTCTTTTGTAGTAATTGTTATCATAAAAATAATAATAAAAATGAACAACAATTACTCTAACGTGGAGTTGCGGGACATGCATTATTATTACGGTTTAGCTGCTGGCAATGCTCTTGCAGCACGACGTTTGTATCGCGAAGCATTTCCAAATAGAAACCTACCCCAATCGCGAATGTTCAGTACTATTCATCGAAGACTGGGAGAATTTGGATCGTTCAAAACTAGAATTTTTGATGTAGGTCGACAACGGAATACTAGAACAGCAGAAGCAGAAGCTCGTATTTTGAATTCGATAGAGAATAATCCCAATGTAAGTATAAGAAAAATTGCTATTCAGGAGGGCATTCCAAAGAGCTCCGTACATGAAACAATACGCGAACAAAACCTTCATCCGTACCACTACCAAAAGGTGCAAGCCTTATCTGCCGTAGATCCTGCTGCTCGTGTGAATTTCTGCAATACAATTAGAATACTTCATAATGGTGACCAAAATTTTGTTCGTAATATCCTTTTCACGGACGAAGCTGGATTTGGCCATGATGGCTTAATAAACCTCCACAATGAGCATTTTTGGTCTGATGAGAATCCTAATTTATCAATAGAGCGTGGTTATCAAAATAAGTTTTCCGTCAACGTGTGGGCCGGTATTGTAGGGGACTACTTAATTGGGCCACATTTCTTTCCACAAAGACTCAATGGTGAAGTTTACTTGGATTTTTTAAGAAACCACTTACCTATTCTATTGGAAGATGTACCACTCGGATTAAGAAATGCAATGTGGCTGCTTCAAGATGGCGCGCCACCGCATTTTAGTTTAGCGGCCAGAGAATTCTTAAATGAAACTTTTCCTGAAAGGTGGATAGGACGCGGTGGTTTTGTACAGTGGGCCCCTAGATCCCCTGACTTAAACCCAATCGATTTCTTTTTTTGGGGCTATCTGAAGACGCTTGTATACAGGACACCTGTGAATAGCGTCGATGAACTGAGAGAAAGAATTGTTGCTAATTGTGAGGTAATTAAGCAAAAGGAAGGAATATTCCATAGAGTTCGTCGGAATTTTTTAAGAAGAATTAATTTATGCATTGAAGAGGAAGGACGTCACTTTGAACCTTTGATTTGAATGTTTAATTTGTATTTGTATTGTTCTAGTAACTTATGTATTTTAACCTTATGATTTTGTTAGTAAACCATTCTTTATTTGTTGAGGACGTTATTTTTTTATTATTTATCATTAACCACCATCAGCGTAACAACAAATTTTCACAAAAATTACTATCTGTCAAAACTAATTCTCCACAAACTTGTTTCCAAGGCAACTAAGCGCTTGTTTCCAAAGCATGCTATGTTTAATGTAGAAAATAAATTAAAATGATTTCGTATTCATCACATGCAAGCAATGTTATTTTAGCGTTTTTCTCGAAAACGGTTAGATTTATCGAAACAAATAAAGTATACCTTTTTTATGTCAAAAGGTTAGGAGAACAAAAATATTCAGTCAAAAGTCGCATAAAGTGTAGCACAAAAAAGTTGGAACCATTCAAATCAAAATAAAGGCTCGTATGTGGCGCCCTCTACAAAATGCGAAAAAACGGTGGGCAAATTTATAATCCTCATCCCGAAAAACCCCCATATACGAAATTTCGTCAAAATATTATGAGTGTGGCAAAAGGTATTGCAAAAAAACTGCAAATAAAATTTAACTTCAACACCCTGTAACTCCGTTAATAGTCAGTTTTGGAAAAAATGTTATAGAAAGAGGTAGCATTTATTTTCGGTCTAGAATTATCCCCTGAATTTTTTGCTCATCATTTCCGAACACTCTGTATTTACATACATTGAGAACATATTTTTTTACATACATTTAATTGTCTTGATACACTGCGGACACTTCACAGTTTGCATGTGAGGAGTGATGAGAATTCTAGAGACACGACAATAAAGACGTTACCTGATAGCCACAGCAATCAACATCGTATTTTCATCGAAACTGAACTCAATTTTTTAAATCCATGACACTGCCACGCAAACCGAAACATTCAGACCTTCAAATAATGCCATTTTTCCCAAGAATGACTTTCTGTAGGCGATTTTCTCAAGAGACATTTTTTTTTTAAATAAAACGACCTTTTCAATTTTGCCTCCCGTTTTAAAAAAACCCGACCACTGTAAAAATTTTGACCGCTAAAAGGGAGAGGTAACTGGAGAAAATTATCACCCAGTATATCGATTTGACTAAAACTTTAAGAAATAATATGCAATAATAATCTAAATAAAGGTGCCAAATTTTAACACGATTGGTAAAAGGGATATGAACAAGTTATTAATTAAATTAGTTTTATTTTTGATAACTTTGAAAGCCTGTAACTCAAAAACCAAAAAGTTTTTATTTAACTTTTATTTCGTAGATCGTATTTATTTATCGTCGTGAATATGCAGTCAAACGTTGTCAGTGAAATTGCGGGNAATTAGAATACTTCATAATGGTGACCAAAATTTTGTTCGTAATATCCTTTTCACGGACGAAGCTGGATTTGGCCATGATGGCTTAATAAACCTCCACAATGAGCATTTTTGGTCTGATGAGAATCCTAATTTATCAATAGAGCGTGGTTATCAAAATAAGTTTTCTGTCAACGTGTGGGCCGGTATTGTAGGGGACTACTTAATTGGGCCACATTTCTTTCCACAAAGACTCAATGGTGAAGTTTACTTGGATTTTTTAAGAAACTTCTTACCTATTCTATTGGAAGATGTACCACTCGTATTAAGAAATGCAATGTGGCTGCTTCAAGATGGCGCGCCACCGCATTTTAGTTTAGCGGCCAGAGAATTCTTAAATGAAACTTTTCTTGAAAGGTGGATAGGACGCGGTGGTTTTGTATAGTGAGCCCTTAGATCCCCTAACTTAAACCCAATCTAGGTATTTCTTTTTTTGGTTCTATCTGAAGACGCTTGTATATAGGACACCTGTGAATAGCGTCGAGGAACTGAGAGAAAGAATTGTTGCTAATTGTGAGGTAATTAAGCAAAAGGAAGGAATATTCCATAGACTTCGTCGGAATTTTTTAAGAAGAATTAATGTATGCATTGAAGAGGAAGGATGTCATCCTGACCCTTTGATTTGAATGTTTAATTTGTATTTGTATTGTTCTAGCAACTTATGTATTTTAACCTTATGATTTTGTTAGTAATCCATTCTTTATTTGTTGATGACGTTATTTTTTTTATTTATCATTAACCACCATCAGCGTAACAACAAATTTTCATAAAAATTACTATCTGTTAAAACTAATTCTCCACAAACTTGTTTTCAAGGCAACTAAGCGCTTGTTTCCAAAGCTTGCTATGTTTAATGTAGAAAATAAATTAAAATGATTTCGTATTCATCACAAGCAAACAATGTTATTTTAGCGTTTTTCTCGAAAACGGTTAGATTTATCGAAACAAATAAAGTATACCTTTTTTATGTCAAAAGGTTAGGAGAACAAAAATATTCAGTCAAAAGTCGCATAAAGTGTAGCACAAAAAAGTTGGAATCATTCAAATCAAAATAAAGGCTCGTATGTGGCACCCTCTACAAAATG